AAAAATCACCAGAAAATATCACTAGATATTTTGGCGGTAAATTTAAATTAATAATTATTATTATTTATTTATTTACTTATTATTGTATTTATTTTCGTTTGTTATCGTCAACACTATACATACAAATTAACATTGAAGTTATGAGTGTATTTATTTCAAAATATAATAAAAAAGGGTTTAAGAACACAAAATATACAATAATGACACGAAACTGTCGAATTATCAATTACCTAACCTTCAAATTCAAAATCAAAATTCAAAATTGCCTGTGTGTGAACCTTCCTCGCATTCAACCAATCACGTGCAAGGTCAATCTGGTGACAAATTTAAAATACTCCTCCTGGTTTAAAAACAGAGTATAGTTGATTTTCTATTAGTTTTAAATTGGTGACTGAAAGTAGCTTTGAAACGGTTTTAAACGTTCTAAAACACAAACAACTTCCGACTAAAGATTACGAGGAAGAGTTCCGCCCGGTACTCACCAGATGTAGATAAAGCACGTGTAAATATTTATATGGAAGCGGGGTCGCGTGGGTGACGACGAGCTTTCTAAGGAACTTTACAATTAGGGCCGAGCGGATGCCGATGGTAACCGGGCACGGGGACGTGATGAGGTCGCGCATTGAATATTTTAGAGGCGAACCGGTGACATTTACGTTGGGGGAAAACGGGAAAATGTGTGGAAACCAAATGGAGTTGCTCCACGATACCATTTGTTTACGTTACTCGGAACAATGTTTTTTTTTGTAAATGAACTTTAATGTTACTAATTATGTTTGTGTTCAGACGTGCCCTATATCAGAGGTATTGCTGCAACAATAAAGATACCGAGAATACAAAAAGTTTGTTTAAATAAATTTAAGATATCATTATCATATTTTAAACACATTATAATAAGTGTGAACAGAGTCTAAATCGATCCAAATGTTAATATTATTAACGTCACAACGGTATTGAATTTTAGTGAATAGATATTGTGGAGTTTCCTGTAAGATTAATTCGTGGAAGAGACAGGCAGAATATAATCTCCCATGGCATGATTAAATTAGTCTCTAGATCGAACGCCACTATTAATATGAATATTCGAAAGAGGCGAAACTGCACATTTCCTACCTTCGATACATTTCCATATTGTTTTCTATGAATCAATTTTTAGTAAGATTTATTACAATTCTTATTATACGTTAGCTACTTTTAAATTGACCTCAATATCGTTCCTAACTCATAAACTCGAATAATAAGTTCAAGTTCTTTTCTGTATAGGTGGGACGATTAATTAACCATTAATTAGTAAGGAGGCAATGTTCAATGAGATTCGTTACTTTGGACATGGCATATTCGCGTCTTTCATTAACTTGGAGAAATATTCATCATAACTAGACAGCAACTTACTATGTTTCACTCTAAATTCATTTCCAAAGTTATCAAAAAAGGTAATTCAATCGTTGCAAACAACCTCTTCCTCGTCGGTCTTTCAAAAAGTTCGTTATTAACGCGAAATGAATGTTTAAGTTTTATTTTAAAAGTTGTTCTTTACATATGTTGGCTATAAAATGCTGAAATGCTTTCAAACTTTTGATTAACAATAAAGATTTTTTGAACAATTTTCTTCAATCGCTTAGACATCATGTCTCACACAGCTTAATAGTATTATGTAAAGCGATGAAACTATGTTTGCATTGTCGCGTAGGATCATAAAGACCTAAGTGCACAATATGCATCAACTTATGTAATACTGTGGAGGTGGGAGAGAGGGCATAAAATGATACATGTCCCAAATTCTTATTGTTGGAATACATTGGATGAGTTTGAGAAAGCTAAAAGTAAATAAATGTTTGCAAGTTTTCTAGTACCTCTTTAGTTGGTTTATTATTTGTTTTAGAATTTGCGAAACATTTTCCCCTGCTACATATAGGTATTACATATTGCTGATCTTGTATATCTAAAAAAATTTAATAATATTGGCAGATACGAATTGTTAACATCATGTTTGGTTTAATGGAAATAAAAACACAACAAAATTTTTATATTCGCAATTAATCTAGATTATCAAAATCGGATATCACTGTGATTAAATAGATAGTCATCGTTACATATTCTGAAAATATCATACGAATATTGCAATAAATGGATTTTTCATGAATTTTTAGATTTAATTGTAATAAATCGTTAACCTTGATAACCCACGAAATTTCGTTCAATTTGAAAACATTATTATTTATAAACTAAAAGGGATTTTTAAAAACGGATTTTACCATAAAAATGGTGACTCTATTCTCTATTAATTTGTCAACTATAAAAACGATGGAATCAGCAACCAATTATTATCGATCTTTTTTAAATATTCAATAATTGCTAATCTCTAAATGCATTATTTAGATTAAAAATTTTTATCTCAGAAATTAAATGAGATTTTCAAAATTGGATTTCAGCATGATAAAACACATAAACATCTCTGTATATCCTGAAAATATCGTAACGATATTCCCAGAAATGAATTTTTTACTTTAATAGAAAAAGATTGTTTAACTTTGGCAATCCACAAAATTATAAAAAAAATATTGCTTATAAACTAAAACTGATTTTCAAAAACAAATTTTACCATTAAAATGGTGACTTTTTTATTAATTTCCCAAATTTTAGACCGATTGAATTAGAAATCAATTTCTTTGAATTATAGAATTTATTAAATATTTAATAATTGATAATATAAGTGTATGATTGAGTTCAATAATTCAAAGAGAAATTGGGCAGAAATAAGAGAACTGGAAAGAGATTGTAATAGAATAAAGAGACTTACGTGAGACTGAAAAGACAATAAGAAGATTGCTAATAGAAGAACGTTCCTGGATCGAAATGATTTACACTACTGCAAAGTTACCGATAATAGAAGAAAGAGGATGAACAGAGACTAAAAGACAAGAAAGAGATTGGGCAGATTGCAGGCAGTCTGAAAAGAATTTGAATAGAAGTGAGAGAGATTTCTCAGTGAAACAAAAATGCTGTATAAAGGGCAAAAAGACAACAAAGAAACATGTATTGGAAGAAAAAGATTGTGTAAAGACTAGCATGGGAAGACAGAGACAGTGTAGAGATGAGAGAGACCGAATCTTTCCGTCAGAATTGCCAGTATCTGTGGCAACAGAAAGTTGTGTTGGGCAAAGAATAAGGACATTCGAAAGAGAGTTGTGGTAGAAGAAAAGTGTAGGCAGAAAAGAAGTATATCCAAGGAACATGTATCCAATAATATGCAGAAAAGAATCGATACTCCCTCTACATATTTCGCTTGTACAGAAGTAGTTATCTATATGGGACCATGAGATAATAATAAATAAGGATTATTTATTGTGGTGTTTTAATAATTTGAAATATATTTCGGATAATATCAATTCAACTGGTACATTTCACTTTTGAAGAGTTAACTTACAGATTCCTAAATGCACTATATTTAAAAAAAATATTTTTGCGTTTTTGCCATTTTAGAATTGTAACAGTTCATGGTGGCTTTTAGGAATTGTATAGTCAAATTAAGTCTAAGAGTTGAAATAAGGACCACACAGGAACAGGATTGCTTGCTGGGTTCATACTTCTATTTCAAACTTGTACACCATTAAGACTAAATATTGGGAAATATTGGTTCGAAAATAAGTGGCTGAATGCAATATAGTGGGAAACCCTAATAAGCAAAAAGATTGACTTCCTTCAACAAATTTGATAAAATATTCATGATCCAACAACATCTGCAAACTCATTTTCTTCCTGTATTGTATTGTATCATAGGAATTTATATTTTCCAAAATATTTGTTAGTGTCAGCTCACATTTTCGAGATTACACCTTCATATAATATTTACAATTCATTCAGTAGAATCTGTATCATTTGTATGATATGTATAATGAAGCTGCAATTATCGGCAACTCAGAGGATGACCTGTAAATACATGGTTGTCTATACTTTAAAAACTAAATTTATAGTGGTAGCAAGTGATCCAACAAAATATAAACTTCTTGGGTGTGTATATTTCAAGCACTCGTGATCAGATGGAGGGTATGAGAAGTTAGATCAACAAACTGCAGCCAAAGGTACCCTACGGGACCTGTTTGGTCGAACAAATTCATGCGTATGGATAGTAAAGTGTGAATATACAAGACATACATCCGCCCAATAATGACTTCCGGAATTGAAATACGCAGAAACACAAATAAAACTATGAGCATGTTAAGAGTAGCAGAAATGAAGACCATGAGGACAATCTCGGGAAAGATTCAGAACATGTTGAGATGGGGAAGACAGCGCATTTTGGCATAATCAGGTCTCTAGAATGTCAGATAAGAGACTCGCGAAAATTGTTCTTACAAGTGACCTGCTCGAAGCAGGATAATAGGAAGGCCACCAAAGAGATGCAGAGACAGCTGGCAGTTAACCTCCTAGGAGATATTTCAGAAGAACAACAAACCTAATTACCTAGAAAGAGAGAGGGGAAGAAGAAGAAGAGGATATATAATTTCTGGAGGTCCAGGGTTCGAGACTTTAGCTAAAATAACATTAAGTACTTTAACGTTTGTTCAGGGAAGTATGGATGTGAGTCTAATACATAGCTCTTCCTATACCATGACATTTTAATCCCAAACTTATCATTTTGCGATGGAGAAGGGGTAATTAAGTTGTTCACGACTTATATTGTGGGGTCGATGCGTGATGTAATGCTCCAAAGTTATAAATATTCACTGCGGCGTTCTACAAGAACCAATCTCGGCTCCATTAATGTTTACTGTGTACACCAATGATCATCTTGATGTGTCCGAAATGAAAATCCGCTTTATTATCATTCGATATATAATTATATATTATAATTTATTATTCTATTTCGACCTATTTTAATATCATTAATATTAATAATAATTTAATAAATTAATAGTTCCGATAACTGATTCATATTAATTAAGTTTAAATCAGTAACTTTTAAGTGATTGCATTGTTAAAATAATAAATACACTTACCGCTTCATTGTGGTTCCAAAAGATGTAGGCCGGCGGTTCGGGACTGTGTCTAACAACACAAGTTAAGTTGATGGTACTACCACGATCGATAAATAACTCTGGACCACCAATAATTTCCGTATCCGGTTCTGAAACGCAAAAATAAAATACAAATCGTAACGTTTATTAAAGAATTCTTTTTAATAAAGTACACCTTAACTAATTTAACTTTTAAATACAAAATGATTTACATTGTTTCCATTTAGTTAAAATTATGTAGCAAAGCACACTATTGACCCACTTAATAAATAATGTGAGAGAGCAGAGACGGTTTCTGTAACGTAAAATCGGGTTAGCCCGGCTCTTCGTAATTGTTCCTGATTATTTAATGCAGGATTTCGCGGCAACGACGAGGAGGGTAGAATTCTATTAAAGCACATTAAGGGAAATGTTTGGCGAAAAGGGTGACGCGGTGTAGGCGGAATGAAACGGTAGGGGAGATTCTATTTACCCTCCTTCACATTAGACCGGTTCGAACCGTCTCGCGTCAAACGAGAATTAATGTTGCTAATTGCGTTGTAGCGGAAGTGATGCGAGAAAGGAAATTTACCGCCTTAATATTAACGGAAATCGCGGAAAAGGGGTAGTAGTTTTTGAAATAATTTGTGGCTCGAGACTAAAGGAAGGTTGTATAATGCAATTCTCTAGATCTTCGCGTAGATGAATGAAATTTGTAATCGAATCAAGTCGTCAGGGTTGTCGGGTGTGTGTACATCTGCGGAAAACCTAATCTAATTCCTTCCGGGAAATAACACCAGGTCGTAACGCGATTTGTTATTAACCAAAGGGTGGCAAACGAGTAAAAATTTTAACGCCGGAAGGAGAAAGGGGAAACGGTGTTTTTCAGCAGGGAGGTAATTTTAAGATTCCCGGAAATCCAATTCCCTCGGTGGTGTTCTTGCATTCACCCTCACCAAACCACCATAAATTCTTTGAAACTAATCCTACGTTTTATTAGAACCTTAGTTTAAATTGAGCGTTACTTATTTTATTTTATTCGATTTACATAATTGGTGGAGGAGCCGGTGTTGTATTTTAATTTGTTTTGATTTCAATTTTCTATAACAACTTATCTCTAAAAGTTGACGTTACTGTAACTCAAACTTGAGTTGAAATCCTCTTAGGAAACCGTAAAAGCGATTACTTTACCCTTAGGCTGTGAGCAACGAACGAAGAGAACAGCGTCATTTCTTACAACTGTGGTCGCTTGAAAGGCAAAGATTAATTCCGGAAGTTGCGCCATTTTTTCGTGTCCTTCCGGCGGTTTGTTAGGTGGGGTGTTGGACCGGAATTTCAATTCAACCCCTCTCAATTCGGCGGAGAAAAAAACGCTCTGTAGACTCTCCGTGAACTTTACTTAAGAAGTCACGGCCTTTAACCGAATCCTAAAACGTGGTCGGTCGAGGTATTAAAATTTTTTCGTCGCGCGGTTTTCTTTGATAGACTTTGGAATAAACTTTGAATTGTAATGAGGGGTAAGACCGTTTAAGTTTTCAAAAGGGGCTTAGGACCGGGCGGAGGATTCGGTCGGGAAACAAGATTATTAAAGTTTCGCAACGAAAAACTCTCGACGAAAAAAATTTGATTGCAAGTTACTTTAACAACTCGTTAAGTAAACATTTATAATCAAGACAAAAACAAATTCTAAAACACCAAATAAAGTCAAACCTTGATATTACGGATTAATATAGACGATGAGGCATACTTCAAACTAAGTTGATTGGAAATTCTGCTTAACCAGAATTCGACTAGAATTAAGAAATAAACAGTGGCAGAAATAATGTTCTTTCTGTATTGGTATCTATAAATGATGAGAAATATTATGCAATTTAAATTAAATTAATCAGAAATTCTGTTCATTTCGAAATTTTCTAAATTTCAAGGAAAACTGGTTTTCAAAGGAAATACCACTGCGGCACGTAGGATCTTGATTAAGACACAACAGGCGCTAATACAAGGAAGAAGTCACATAACCTTTAAAGATCTACAGGAAATAAGGGAGAGGTTACTACGACTCCACCTCTTACTTTCTAATTCTATGGTAAGAGAAGACTGGGACAAAATAGACAGCATAACCATGGAGAAGGCTGAACGTGAATTCCAAAGAATTCGGGAAAAGTAGATTAAGAAGTTTGAATCATTGGACCGCCGCACCCACAAGAAGACGATTTTCCAATCGAAACGGTCATCATCAACCGATCAAGCGTCCAATTAACAAAGGAGGAAACTACAGTACTGGCCAAAGGCTTAAATTATGCAGCCGCCCCAAAGAAGGTTGCCAGAGAAGACTAAACATCGCTACAACTAAATACTTCAAATTTTCAAAATGTTTCGGAATTTATTACTATCATATAAATTAAATAAAATACCATAAGATTGAAGTACAATTTTTCCCAACGAAAATTAAATCTTGCTATTACATTTAAGTATGTTTTTACTAGCTTCGACGTAATGTATGTGTTTCAATACGTTTATTCTCATACCATCTTTATGGGAAAAATGAATGCATAAGACATTATAACAAAGGTAGGCTAGCAGCATCTCTTCTAGATATTACTAGAAGACCATATAGACAGATATACAAAAATAATTGCTAACGGGCGATTAAAAATTGTCTATGAAAGACTGGATCCACCTTATAGAAGTCTAGATACTGCTTGAATAAGACTGTTACTGAAAGACAAGATTGTCTTAAGAGAAAACTTGAACTGCTACAGATGACTAAATAATGCTTTCAGAAGACTATATGCTGCGAATGGAAGACTGGGCACTGCTAGATGAAGACTATACACTGCTAATAGTAGATTAGACAATGCTGATGGAAGACACTGGTAATGGAAATCTAGACAGTGCTAAAAGAATACCAGATCTGCTTGTATATGACTAAATACTGTTTGTCAAAGACTAGACAGCACTATCTAGTATAATGCCAATAGAAGTCTAGAATTGCATACTGTCATCGGAAGACTAGATCCTCCTTATAGAAATCTAGATGCCGTTTGAATAAGACAAGATACTGTTAATAAATGACACTCCTTATAGAAGATAGTTCTAAAAAAATACTAGAACAACTGCAGATGAATAGATGCTATTTGCAAAAGACTGGAAGTTACCAATGGAAAACTACATTCTGCTAATAGAAGTTTAGATACACTACTAATTACATACCTAAATTTACAATATACTATTATTAGCTCGGTTACTAGAAACTTGGATGTCATAGAAAATGATAGGCTCAGAATTACACCGTTAAACTCAATTATGTCTACAAATATAGTCTCTGCTGATGTTGAAATACATTGATGTTTTTTCAATACCGCATAAATACCGTATTAAAAAAACTTTAGGTATTTTAGTTATGTTTTACCTTTGCAATTCCATGTAATCTATGTGTTATAACTAGTATACAAGATTCCTCAAAACGGAATCGTCAAAAGGAATGTTAATCATAATGTCTAATTTACCATAAACACACAAAGAAACAATTCTCTATAGAGACAAGTGGAACAGCGGAAATTAAGACGCTACGATCATTAACAGGATACACCTTGTTACACCATAAAAGAAGAGAAGATATCAAAGAGGTATGCGATATCCAGGATGACATTGTAAGATGGGTTGGGTTGAAGGGGGAAATGAAGAGACAATGTTAAACATATCAAGATTCTACAAAACAACGAAACATATCAGGGTAACCTCAAGATTATCCAGGATCGTTAAAATGAACTCCCAAGAGCACACCGCAAGACCTCCAATATGATGGTATAAAAGCTGGAGCTCCACTCTCGACATAGATCATGAATAATTAAGAAAGAAGACTAAACTCTGCTGATGGAAGATCAGAAGTTTAGATAGTGCTAATAGATGTCTAGATGCTGCTTGTAGAAGACTACCTGCAGCATGCAGAAAACATCATGGTACTAGCAAAAGACATCGTACAGTTTGCAAAAAAAAACTAAATACTGCAGATAGAAGAGTACGTACTGCTACTAAAAGATAGATAGTGCTAATTGACGTCGAGATACTGCTTACAAAAGACTACCTGCTGCTTGCAGCCTTATCTGTGACGTGGAATCGGCTATTCGCAAAATACCTGCAGTGAAAGCAGAAGAAATTCGACAAGACGTACCGAGAGTGCTGAAAACAGCAAAACCACCAAAATCAAACATAACAATAAATAAAAGAAGGGCACTGCGAACGATAAGGGAAAAAATAGACATCATCGTCCTAAAATAAAGGGAATGCGACCGTAGTTATAGACAGAAAAGAATACGACGACAAGATGATGAGCCTTTTGAACCCAGCCACCTATAAGAAAATTAAAAATGACCGAACCGAGAAAATAATAAGGATGATAAAAGAATTGTTAAAATCTACAGGAATCCCAGCAGAACAACAGAGAAGCTTATTTGTACAGGCCCCAGTACCTCCAAGGATATATGGATTACCCAAAATCCATAAACCAGATGAACCACTACGCCCTATTGGCAGTTCCATAAATTCTCCCATCTATACCTCTCCTTTTACAGGTAAAACAGAATCATATGTCAGAGATTCCACACATCGACGTGGAAAATCTATGCACCACAATACCAGTCAAAGATGGCGTGGATGGTCTACGCCAAAAATTCATCCCGGGGTTTTGCCGAAGGATGTCCCAGGACTAGTATAGTACTGCCTATCATCGACATATGTTAGCTGGAAAGGAGAATTCTACAAGCAATGCGAAGGAGCAGCCATGAGATCACCTCTGCAACCTGTTATCGAAAATTTTTACATGGAGATGTTTGAAGAGGAAGCGTTAAAGAAGAGTCCGTGGAAACCGCAGCTATGGCTCCGTTAAGTCGATGACACTTTCGTGATCTGGCAACCAGGAAAAGAGCGACTCCAGGAGTTTCTAGACCACCTAAACTCACAGCACCCTTTGATAAAATTTACCATAGAAACGGGAGTTGTAAAACAGTTCCCATTCTTGGATGTGTTTTTCACTAGGAAGACAGATAGGGGAATGGAACGAAAGACGACACATACGAATAGATACCTGCAGACTTCATCCCATCATCATCCACAACACAAGAGATCCGTGATT